AATCAGAATCCATCCTAGCTAGTATCTGAGAGAAGCCTTGATTAAGGGATTTCCCAGATCAGACAGACTTGTCTGTGGGACTCTCTTGACTGTTTGTTAATTGATGTAGGAGAGTCCAGCCCACTGTGAGCAGCACCATCCCCTAGGCAATCGATCCTGACATGTGTAAGATGAAATTAACCCTTTCCTCCATCCCCCAAGCTGATTTTGGTCAGAGTGTTTTATCACAGTAACAGACTGAAAGAGAATAGATACTGTAACCTTGATGAATGACAACCCCCTTGTGTACACCAACATAAAGCTATGGCCTCCGTCTAAACGTGAAGGAGTGTCAAACCTAACCACGGGATAAAAATAACTGTCCTGTCTCCAAACCGGGTTATAATTCATATGTGACAGAGAAACTGTAGAACATTCCAATTAGTATGACGGTCATGGTCAGTAGCCCATGTAGCCAGCAAACAATAGCAAGAAGAAAGATAATTGAGAAGACTAGTGAAATTAGAAAATTTGACTACAGACCAGACGTAACTGTATTACGTCAAAGGGGAGAAGCCTTGACCTCAGGAAATATTAAGGAGCAAAGAAATGTCATTTGGGCAGTTACTCTCAAATATTAAAAAGTATAGAGTATACATGGCAACATCACACAAAAAGTGGGAGATAAATAATTTATAATTCAAGGCTGTGTGGTCCTCATACCATCTCAGGAGTAAAAGTCCTCTCTGAAGGGACTCTGTATAGTCCAAGTGCATCTGTAACCACCAGGATATTAGCCTATGTGGTAAAAAAGTATATAACTAAAAAAAAAAAATCAATCATGAGGAGGAGGAGTGAAGTAGATAGAAAAAAAAAATATTGGTTAACCCCAAAGTTGCCCAGAAAGGAGAGGTGGGTAATTGACTAACAATAAGCAACAAGATGGTGGATTTACAAATGAATAGCCCAATATTTATACTAAATGTAAATGGACTAAATAAGCCTACTAAACGGCAAAGACTGCCACATTAGATTCACTTTAAAAATTCCAACTGGTTATAAAAAAAAACTCATCTCAAGTACAAGGAAAAAGAAAAAACCCACAGTAACAAGAAAGAGTGTGGAGAGGTGGTTAGAAAAGCACCCACTCAAGGAAAACTGCTGCCCTCTGTTAGTAGACAGGATTAGCAGTAACATTACCAGAGATAAAGGGGCATTTCACAATTACAAGCAGGCTAAATCAACAAGAGCCACTCACAAAAGTTCAAACTAGCTATTTTCAAACTGTGCCTGCCTGGACCCAGTGAGGGCCCAAGTTATTGAATCACAGACCCTGTTGCTTCCAACACAACTATCATAGGCCTGCTTTCAGGGCTAGTCCTCAAAGTTGCTGCTATGACTCGGTTGCCTTCACTCTTTTGAAGGACAGCTAGGTATCAACGAATATATCTGGGTCTGCAACACAGATGTTAGGCTAAGTGGGAACGGAATGGCTCCTGCTACCAGCTGTAGAATGTTCAGCAGAGGAGCCAAGACTGCCTGAAGACAAGTGCAGACAGGTCTGGGTAGCTGCAGCCCCAGGAAAATCCAGTTTGTCCTGCTGGTGGCACATGGAGCTCCCTGCCTTTCCAAAAATATGCTCAGCGACTGAGTCAAAAGCCAGTGGATCTAGATGGGTCCAGGAATAGAGGGGGCTTTTTGCAAGATCTCTGGGGGAAAGAGTCTGGGGGAATAAACCACCTGGAAGTCTCTGGAAACAAGAGGGGGTGGGTAGGACCTGATGGGTCCCTGTGGCTTCCCTACCTGCAAGTGACTGGAAGACTGTATGTAAAACCCGTTTCTGAGTGACTACAAAGGCAGAGAAACAGGGTCTGACACAGGACAAGATCTGTGGGGTCTGGATGGAGACCTGACCAGTGCCTCTAGGATCACAGTGAACATCTGGATTCTCAGTCCTCACCCCTACCCCTGTGACATCAGGGAGATGTCAGACACAGTGTGCCTAGAACAAGGCTGAGCATAGTAGAGGCTGTAGAATAGCTTTGTCTGGGTCCAACTGGGTCAGAACCAGCCCCGGGCCTCTGCATGAAGCCCTCAAGCCAGGCAAGTGACTCACCCGTCCATTCGTCTCGCCTTTCCACCAGCCCTGGTCCCCACCGATTCGGCTGTAGATCTTCACCACGTCACCTTCCCGCAGCGACAGCTCCCGCATGTCCCGTGCAGCAAAGTTGTACCTGGCCACAGCTGTGCCAATGACCCGAGGTGTAAACACTATTGGGACAGACAGGGTGGGACATCACACAACTGCAGGAACTGCTCAGTCAGAGCCCAGAGGCCCCTAGACTGAGCGAGGTCTCTTCCCTGCCTAGAGTGTGGCTTTGTGCCCACAGCTAGAGGTCTCTGGAGGGACACACTAGCCTCTAGCTCAGGGCCCGTCACACCCTGGTGGGTTTGGGTATAAGACATACCCATGCATGCACTAGAAGAGGGTTGGAGGGCATCACCCATGCGGGGCAGCTATCACAGGCAACAAGCATGTCGCTGGTGAACAGAGCAGGCACCCATGCCTTGACCACTATGCCTCGAGGTGGCCCCATCCCAGATCTCCAGACTAGACTGGAAACCCACTGAACTGGTTCAGCTCAGAACTCAGAAGTCCTGAGGAACAGGTGACAATGGCAGTGAGTGAGGGGACACACACAGCCACACAAGAAGGGCTTTGGCTCTGGCAACAGAAAGTATGTCGTACCAGGGCTGACTGAAGCCCTCTCCTTTAGCACCCATCCAGCTCCCATGGCAGCTTTCACAGCCGCAGAGTGGTCGCCATCTCCGCCCCTCCTGCCCACATATCCCACAACCAGAGGCAAAGTTCCCAATGGCGTGAAAGATGACAGCTGAGGAGGCAGGGAAGCAGCTATCATTATGGCCAGGGAAGAGCCCTGCCTAATGTGTCCTCATGAGCAGCAGGCTCGGCCTGATTCCCAGCCTCCCTCCCCCACCCGGCACCAGGCTGCACAGCCAGGGGGACCCATCAGGCTGGGCCCTGAGCAGTAGAGGTACCTGACCAGAAGGGAGCGGAGGGGCCCTGAGGGGCAAAGCTGAGGCCCTGAGGACTGAGAAAAGAAAAGTTGTAGGAAGCACAGGAAGCTGCAAAGAGGCAAGAGAGAGCATAAGACAGAGGGCATGACGCTGACGGCCAAGGAGCACAGGGGATGCCAGGCTTGACCTCAGTAGGACACCAGGGAGGGCAGGGGCCTAGCATAAGCAAGGCTAAGCCACTGCTTGCTCTACACTCGTCTCATGGTTCTGCGGGTCCCTGTAGACTGGAGACATGGGTTACTAGGGGAAAGAGCTCTGAGCTAAAAGCCAAACACTCTGGACCTGTCTCTGTCCCAAGGTCCAGGTTGCTCCCCTGTTCTTGGCTTTGGAGTCCCTCCTTTACATAGACAGCTGGCTTGCACAGCCAAGGCCCCAGGGCACCCAGGGAGGGATCTGTTCCCAGATCCTACCCACTGCTCCTCACTATTGTCAGCTCCAAGCACAGGTGTCAAGAGCCAGAGTAACAGTGCAGCCCCCATCTGCTACATGAAATAAGAAGGGGCTTCCCAGATCCTACCCACTGCTCCTCACTATTGTCAGCTCCAAGCACAGGCGTCAAGAGCCAGAGTAACAGTGCAGACCCCATCTGCTACATGAAATGAGAAGGGGTATGGGTCAGCACCGGTGACAGATGGATTGGCTGGGTCCACGCTCAGGGATGGGGGCAGCAACTCTTTGACCCTGGTGGACAGGGAGCATCTTGGCCCTGGAAGTTGGATATCCCTGGGCACAGACATTACCTGGGGACCGGCTTGAGGTCCTGGTGGTAGCACGCTCCCGGGACTTGTAGGGGAACTTGAGCGTAGTGTCCAACTGCTTGAAGCTTTCCTTGAGAGAGTGGCACTGGTAGTACTCCACAAGCTCCTGCAGGGGGTGCACACTCACCAACTGCTGGAATATCAGGAGCCCTCCCACCACCTAGGTTCCTCCCTCCAGCCAAGCCCAGCTAGGACAGCCAGTGCCTTAGAGACTTCTCCCTCGGCTTTAGTGCTCCCAAATATTTCTGAAAAAATGCTCTGGAAGGAATGCCAAGGTTAAGGAAAGGACAAGCTGCAGACTGTAATACCTTCCATGCTGGAGTGAGGGCACACCTACAGAGCAGAATGCCACGGGGCTAGCACCAGAGAAAGGACTGGGCAACAATGAATGATTGCACACAGGGTGGTGCCATGGCTTTGCAAGAGCCCCAAGAACCATGGCTGGCTACCCCAAGAGGCACCTAGAACCTCACCTGATGGCGAATGTTGGCTTTGGGCTGAGAACGGGATTTTAGGCACTTTCTGTTTGCCTTTGTGTTTTCCCATGGGCCACAGAGGGGAAAAGAAAATTCCAGTGTCCTGCCAGGGTCCGGGTATGTAGGGGATGCTGTAGCCAGCCCTGCTCTTTCACAGGTATGGTGGTGCACACCTTTAATCCCAGAACTAGGGAGGCAGAGGCAGGCTGATCTTTAAGAGTTTAAGGGCAGGCCTGGTCTACAGAGTGGGTTCCAGACCAGCCAGGGCTACATAGTGAGACCCTATCTCCAAAAACAAACAAGCAAAAAGAGTTGGGGTTGAGGTTGGGCCCAGTGGTAGGGCAAGTGCCTTAAGGGTGTGAGGCTCTGGGCTCCACATTAGTACCTAAAAGACAGGTGGGAGCAGGAATAGACAGAAACAGTCTGATGTCACTTTAAGGGATACTATGTCTTGCACTGCATTACGGCGGGGCTGACCAAGGAGGTGGAGAGAGTAGGGTTGAGTTGCTTGTCGTCTCATGTCGGGTGAGAAGCCTCACTGGGCCTTGGTTTCTGCTCTATCATGTGACCTAGGGAAGGCTTTGGAGTGTCCCAACTCAGGTAAAACAGTGCTCCAACTGTATAGATACTCTATAAAGTTCCCCTAAATTTCTGACCCACACTGGAAAGAATCATTCCCCCCCCCCCCCTATGCAAAGAGAATGGGCCATGAGGGAACAGAATGGTTGTGGAGTGAGAGCCATAGGGCCGCTGTGCCAGGGTTTGGTGCAGCGGGAGTGACAGGCACACATACCAGGAGGCTCTCAAACTTCTTGGCCTCAGTGATGTGGATCCAGTTGTCTTTCTCCACAACCTTGATATGCTTCACCTCGTCATTGAACCTGGACAGACACACAGCCCAGCAGTTACTGCACAGCCCACACCGCCCAGGCTTATTCCAGATCTGTTTCAGCAAAGACTCTGACTCAAAGCTCTATACCACCACTGCAGCCACTCCAGGCCAGCCGTTCCTCCAGCACTCCATTTGGGCAGATCTCCTGGGACCTATCCTATCGCCCTTCCTGCCTGCTTAAAGTCCATACCCCAGAGTCCCCACTACCAACCCACTCTTCCCCTCTCCCCTCCCACCACCCTCTCCAGGATTCTGCTGCTCACTGGCTCTGGACACTGGGAGATCCTCTCCCCTCCCTGAAAGCAGCCAACTCTGCCCTGATCTCCAACATCCACTAGGCTGCTCCAGGAGCACAGAGCTCAAGTCCACCCAGTCTCAGAGCCAGCTGCCCCTGTCCTCACCCATCACCATCTTTAGCTCAAGTGTACCCAACCTTAGGAGGCTCTCCTGAAAGCCATCCCTGTGGCACCTGCACCATGAGCAAGTCTAATGTTTTGGGCAAAAGCCTAGAGATTTAATGAAAGACAAGACGTGACAAGCAACTCAAAGAGACCCTGTGGGGGCTGGGGCTCAACATCTCCCCCTTCTTTATATATAAATTAGCACCTGTCTTAGGTGACTAGGAAGTTGACGCTAACCTTACCCATCAATGGAGAAATCACCCAGGCTGCATGGCCCTCCTGTCTTAGGTTGGCTGGCATCCCCTTGGTCTTACCCATCATTGGCTGCCTAATTTTCTGTAGGCTCAACCATAGTTGAGCTGAAGGATTCTCTGTGGCCATCAAGTAACAAATTGAGCCTGGGTTTGTCTAGTGCCAAGGCACCTTAGCCAAATAAGACCTAGGGCTAAAAGGCCCAGAAATAGGGACCCAGCCCATTCTTTGACTAAGGCCTGCCATCTATAATCCCCTATGGAGAGTCTCTCCAAAGGACAGAGGAACCCGGGTCTTGTTTATCCGAATAATTTGATTGGTCAATTGATGAGTATAATTTGTTGATTAAGATTTACCCATTTTCCAGTCTTTTCCTTCTACCCAGGAAGTTTTCACATCTGTTGTCACCAACACATCCCAACCCATGTCAGGCACCAAGGTCAAAGTCATCACATGGACAGAAAACCAGAGTCAGTATCCTAATGACTGTGGGTGTAAGAACCCAGCCAGTGAAGCAAGAGAACTTATCTCCCTATCTCATGTGTATCTGTATATGAACTGAACATGTAACAAGGACTGGCTAAGGGGTGGAGAGGCATCTGAGGAATACAAGGTTGGTTCAATACCCTGAAATAAGCTAAAGCAAAGACTAATGAATAATCAAGTCCCCAGGTGGCCAGGCTCCCATTCCACAGGGCCTTTGCTGGCACCTACCTGTGTCACTCTGGACTTAACATGTGCTGTGAGCCAGATCAATAGGACCCCACTGTGGTGTCCTAAAGGTCAGGCATATACAAGGCACTGGACACTCCTATGAAATTGGTGTGATGTCTCCCATGTCATTAGGTTGGGGCTGGCTTTAGGCTATGCATTTCTTAATCCTGTAACACCTAGTAACTTGTGCCGGTGGCTGGCCTGTGCTGAAGAAAACAAACTGCTAGTTTTTTTTTGCTTTGTTTTAATCTGAGGAAAGATGCCCAGAACAAGGGCCTGCGGCCCAAGCTACAAGGCTGTCATGGCCACTGCTAGAATTCTGCATGGGTACCCAGATGGGTACATCCTGCCTAAGGCTCTCTGGACATGCTGCCAGTACATCCTTGACAGTGCTTCCCAGTGTCCCACCAGCCCACTCTGAAAGTGCTCCTCAACCCACATGGACATGGAGCAGTATCTTGTGTAGGCTACAGGTTGCACCCAGCACACACGAGGAGCCCTGGTGGCTAGCATGTGCTCTCTGCCACCATCTCATCCAAGATTTTCCAGCATGAACATCAGAGAAGACCATCCCCTCAATAATTTGGCTCAGAAGGGACACTCATAGGTCCCAGGGCTGTCGCTCACTTGATGCTGATGGCGAAGCGCTCAGCCTCTGCTGGTCGCTCTCTGATGAGGTAGGTCCCACTGGGATGAGACTTGAGCAGATTGTCCGTCTGCTGCCGTTCCATGTTGCCAGCAAACCTGGGGTCAGAAAACCAGAACTGAGACACATTGCTGAAGGGTTTGTGGCCTTGGTGTGTACATGTCACCTGCCTAGGGCTTTGCTCCTTATATGAACTTTAACCTTTCAGGTGAGGAGACATGCAACCGATGAGGGGTACGTGGCCATGTCCTGATTAGAGCACAATGTGGGGGATAGCACCCCAAGTCATGAATACAAGGGTATCTTGATAAAGATGTCACAGGGGAGAGATAGAAGAGAGAGTGCCACAGCCAGGCGAGGGGACTGTTGGAATCACAAACTTTTACCAGACCCCATGTGTCTAGTTTTTTTTTTTTTTTTCACTACTTGAAAAGAAGTAATGATTTGGGCATCTTGGGAGAGACATTCTAGAGATGGCCAGCATCCACGCAGGATGAGATCTGAGCACAATCAGGCCTTTCCCACCACCAAAAAAAGGGTAGGGAGGCTGGTCGCCTCAGCAAAGCAACCTCCACGTCCCCCATGGTGTGACACCAGGAGCCTAGTCTTCAGTAACATTGCACAATCAAGGTAGATCTGGGGTTAATAAATTTCTTGGTGGCTGGGGGACGGGATTCACTTTCTTTAGTAGTAGCCACTGGTAGGTTGTCCATACTCTAGTTAAACAACAAAAGCTCTCCCCCCATGCTCATACAAGCAAACCTAACTAAACTTAGTGGGTCACACACATAAAAGGTTTGAAAATGGGACTGGGCCAGCTGGGGAGAAGCTGGGAGCTGAAGAGTAACAGAGGCAACGTGACTAAAATTCATTACACACATGTCTGAAAGAATAAAAACATAATTTAAGGCCAGGCATGGTGACACATGCCTTTAACCCCAGCACTCCAGCACTCGGGAGGCAGAAGCAGGCAGATCTCAGTGACTTAGAGGCCACTGGGTCTACAAAGAGTCTACACAGACAAAGAGTCTACACCAAAGAGAAAAACAAACAAACAAACAAACAAAAGAACCAAAAACGTAATTTAAAAACTAAAGCAACTGTGTGGTGGATAATCTTTTATGTCAACTTGAATCACCCTGGAAACAAATCTCTGGATGTCTCAGGGATTATCCAGATTAAGCTAATTGAGGCAGGAAGCCCAGCACCCCAAGGGGGATGGGGCGCCATCCCATAGGCTGGGTTCTCAGACTGAATAAAAAGAAAAGCAAGCTGAGCCAGCATTTGTTCAACTATGCTTCCTGATTATGGATGCAACTGCTGTCTCATGCTATCCCATAATGTACTGCACCGCAGAACTGTGAACCAAAATAAACCTGTCCTTCCTTAAGTGACTTTGTCAGCATTTTGTCACAGTAAAATGACAAGAAACAAGTAAAGACTCCACCAAAGGAAAGCCCGTGATCTCTATGATATCAATCATTTGCTACCTGAGGGTCAGTGCAGGGTAGCATGCACCCACAGGCCCAGTGGGCTTCCTAGAGAGATGCAATGGGACAGACAACAGTGAGGTGATAGGAGGGGACAAGGACTTGGGAAGCTGTGCAGACACATCACATGTGAGGCCTGGGGATAGTGCACTGATTGGGGAATGAGCCCCATCTCAGGTTAGTGGTATGTATGCTGCCCATGTGGGTCTGTGCAGCTGTGAGGACTAGTTCTTCTAGGCACGGGGCACTGCAGGGACAGAATCAACAGAACCTCCCAAGACTCACATGACCTGTGACCATGCCCAAAGCACCCAACTTTATCCTTCAACGTAACCCTGCTTCTCTTCTCACCAAAGGCATGATTACAAATTAGACCATAAATACATCACTTCTATCTATAGCTTATGTAATGAAGCTTGGTTAAGCCTGCATAGAAAAGGGCTCATTACCACAAATACTAGAGCCTACCAATCTGTTTTAGAGATGGGGAAATAGTCAAGGTAGGGCTCAGTTTCTCCCTGCCCCAGGCCAGCTCACTGACTTATAGGGCCACACTCTATGACACAGGGGCCACCAAATGCCCAAGTCTACAGCCCACAATCCACTTACCATGGGTACGCAGTGTAATCAATCTCCCGGGATGGCGGGCGGCCAACAGGTGGCTGGGGACAGAACACAGGTCTATTAATAGAGGGGAAGCTCATGAGAAACCCAATCCTGGGACCAACTGTCTATACTGGGCCAGAACTTCAGGTGGACTTAGCCCAGCAGCCCTGAACCGTGACATCCCAGGGGCACTGCCAGGACTTGCCCTGGGTAGATGTTCAGGATGGCTGATGGAGAGAATGACTGGCTTTCCCAGAAGGCATGAATGAATGAGGGACCAGCAGCAAACTTAATTCCTGGGAGGGAAAGGCTGAAGGCCACAGGATAATCCCAACAGTGGGCATGAGTTGGCCACACTAAGGAGGGAGGGGGCCCCACCCCCTACCCCCAGCCCCCTGTCCTGCTCTGCTATGGGTTCCCCAGGTCTATCCAAAGAGTTCTGAGTGTTTAAAACTTTTCCTTCAAGCAGCAGATGAACCTGGTGGGTCTGGGGTGAGCAGGGTGCCATTTGTCCCAGCAATTTCAGGGAGAAGTGTCTTTTTCACTTTTAGTTGTGTGGGGGGGGAGGGGGTCTGGTTATTCCAGGTCAACTCCTTGCTGCTTTTGACATCAGAGCCAAGAACAGCCTTGTTTGTTCCAAACAAGACCCAGCTTTCAGGCCTTGTATCTGGGACGCTTCCTCTTCCCCAGCCCTAATGGCCTAAGAGGATGTAAAAAGTGCCTCATCCACAGGGGAGGGCAGTGGTTCTACATGAGTTTCAACTGGGTGGATGGCAGCTGTGGGGTTCGTATAAGAATGAACCCCATGGGCTCATAGATTTGAATGCTTGCTAACCAGGGAGTGGAACTACTTGAGAAGGATTAGAAGGATAAGGAGGTGTGGCCTTGTTGGAGTTAATGTGTCACTAGGGTTGGGACTAGAGGTTTCAAAAAGCCCACACTAGACCCAGGATTTCTGTCTGCTGCCTATGGAACAGAATGTAGCTGTCAGCTACTGCTCTAGAGCCATGCCCCCCACCGTGATGATTGTTAGACCCCCGAAAACTCAAGTATCCGGGGTCTCAGGCCAGGTTCGCGGTCACCCCAATCACCAGGCGGATTCGAGAGCTTGCTGCAAACTGCACGAGGCTTTATTGTAATTTAACGAGCTA